GGGTCACTACAACCTCCACTTCCCGGGTTCAAGCAGTTCTCCGTGCCTCAGCCTCCTGAGTAGCTGGGATTACAGGCACCTGCCACCATGCCCGGCTAATTTTTGTATACTTAGTAGAGACAGGGTTTCACCATGTTGGCCAGGCTGGTCTCAAGCTCCTGATCTCAGGTGATCTGCCCATCTTGGCCTCCCAAAGTGTTGGCATTACAGGCATGAACCAGCGTGCCTGGCCCTTATATAATTTATTTAAATAAATATTTCGTACCTTAGCAGATCTTTCTGCCTCTTATTAGAAAAGTACATTATAAATATCTATTTTCTCTCTCTCTACAGGGCAATCCTTCAAACACAGTGTTTGACTTAGAATCTTCCCTTTTTCACTCCATTCAAGAGCAACATTCATAAATTACCAGGTATGAAAAGTTTTAATTCTTGATCTATGTCACTTAAATGCATTGACAAAAAGTAGAATTTTGTAGTTGTAGATTTTATATATCAGAGAATGGATCTATTTCTTGAAAATTCACTAAGATATTCAGTGTTCTGGTCTTTTTGGTCTCCCTATTCACTTATTGCTAATTTTTTAAAATGACATCTTTATTTTGAATACTCTCTTAAGGCAGTATAGTATATCCTTGTGAATGTGGGCTGAATTTTTTTTTTTTTTGTAAACATCCAGGATACATATTTGAAATACATTTTTATTTTTTTTTAAACTGGTATCCAGGCAGTTGTATGGAACTACATTTTTAATTCATTGCCTCTCTTGTGCCTTGGATTCCAGGGCAAATAATGCTAAATGTAAATGTATAGAAACCATCTCATCAACATTCAATTTAATTTAAATAAGATGTTGCTCGCTCTGTCACTGAAGCTAAAGGACAGTGGCATCATCCAAACTCACTGCAGCCTCCAACTCCGTGGCTCAAGTGATCCTCCCACCTCAGCCCCCAAGTAGCTGGGACTACAGGCCCACAACACCATACCCGGCTAGTTTTTGTATTTTTTTGTAGAGATGAGGTTTCACCGTGTTGCCCAGGCTAGTCTCAAACTCCTAAGTTCAAACATCTACCTGCCTCAGCCTCCCAAAGTGTAGAGAGTATAGGTGTGAGCCACTGTGCCCAGTCTATTTTACCAAACTCTTATCATCAGTTATTAAAATCTTTTGAATGCCACCCTCTGTTGATGATTCCTGAATCTTTATCTCCAGCCTAGATTTCCTGAGCATATATCCCAACATCCTTATACTGACTTCATGCTTGGTGAGCAAGATTTTAATGACTGACTTTCTATATCACTTCCTCATAAGGAAAGGAGAATATGTTGGTCAGTGGAAAACAAATATCTGTCCCTTTGATGTTTACATTTTTCATCATAATTTATAAAATTGCATTGTATCTCTCTTGTACGTATGGTATATCTGACATACCACATACAGATATATAACATATATAGACCTATATACAAACTCTGTGAGCTTTATTAAAGACAAAGGATGGGGGAATAAGGAGGGAAGTAGGAAGGCGTTTGGCCCTAAGAAACAGATCATCTTTTTGTAGAACAAAATCACGTTTCTGATCAGTTTCTGAAAATCAAAACCTAAACAAGAGGGAATGATGTAAATGCTACCAATCTTAGCACCTAGCGAGCTGGCCATTTTCTCTTTTATTCTTTTTCTTTCTTTTCTTTTTTTTGTTTTTTTAAGACAGAGTCTCTCTCTGTCACCCAGGCTGGAGTGCAGTGGTACGATCTTGTTTCACTACAACCTCCGTCTCCCGGGTTCAAGCAATTCTTCTGCCTCAGCCTCCTGAGTAGCTAGGACTACAGGCACATGCCACCATGCCCAGCTAATTTTTGTATTTTTAGTAGAAATGGGGTTTCACCATATTGGCCAGGCTGGTCTCGAACTCCTGACCTCAGGATCCACCCACCTCGGCCTCCCAAAGTGCTGGAATTACAGGAGTGAGCCACCCCATCCAGCCTCTTTTTTTCTTCCTTTCTCACCCTCCCTCCTTCTTATCTACAGTAGTAAGCTACTTAGGGAAGAATTTAGATTTTCTCTTCACAGTACTCCAAATACATTCTAGAAGAGCTAAGTATTACACACACACACACACACACACACACACACACACACACACGGAAGTAAACATTCATCAAACATCTGGAGGTGGCAAGATATCCTGAGAGTAGAACACAATGAAAACAAATTATGTAGGGAACTTTCAACATGTGCCATTAATTCACTTATTTGTTTATTAGTCTCCAAGTCTGAAGGATATAGATATGGAGGCTGAGAAGGGAAAGGTTTGGGCTAGAATGGTTCCCGAGTCCTGGATTAGGCACTAGAGGGAGATAGTATCACTAATATGCAAGAAAGGAGACACAGATGAAGGAGTAAATTTCAGGGGTTAAGAAAAGGCAGCAGTAATAAGTTTGGAATACAGTAAGTTTGAGGTTATCTCCTGCCTCTATCTGGTGATTGATAACAATGATGATAAGAATTATAACAGAGGCTTATATATTATTGAGCAGCTACAATGTCCCAGGCACTTGCAGAGTTCTTGGCATTTGCAATGTCAAATTGAATCTACAATTCCATGAAGTGGCGCTGTACTGTCATAAACTCCCATTTATAGGTGAGGAAATGGATGTGTAAACCACAGCAGAGCTGGGGTTTAGATTCACTTTGATGGCACAGCCCATGTGTTTACCCACTGTTATTTATGCTGCTTCCAAGTCCTGCTGATCTGCTGATTCTGCCTCTCTTGCTCATCTCTTTCTATTTCTTTTCTTTTCTTTTTTAAGACAGAGTCTCACTCTGCCATTGGAGTGCAGTGGCACGATCTTGGCTCACTGCAACCTCTGTCTCCTGGGTTCAAGCGATTCTTGTGCCTCAGCCTCCCGAGTAGCTGGGATGACAGGCATGTGCCACCATGCCCAGCTAATTTTTGTATTTTTAGTAGAAGTGGGGTTTTACCATGTTGGCCAGGCTGGTCTCGAACTCCTGACCTCCAGTGATCCACCTGCCTTGGCCTTGTCTACTTATTTTCATCACCACTGCTGTGGTTTAAATGTTGGTCCCCTTCAAAATTCATGTTGAAACTTCATCCTCAATGTGATGGTATTTTTTTTTTTTTGAGACAGGGTCTCACTCTGTCGCCCATGCTGGAGTGCAGTGGCACAATCATGGCTCACTGCAGCCTCAGCCTCCCCAAGCTTAGGTAATCCTCTTACCTCACCCTCCTGAGTAGCTGGGACTACAGGTGCATGCCACCATGACTGGCTAATTTTTGTATTTTTTGTAGTGGTGGGGTTTTGCCATGTTGCCCAGGCTGGTCTCCAACTCCAGGGCTCAAGCGATTTGCCTGCCTTGGCCTCCCAAAGTGTTGGGATTACAGGCATGAGCCACCAATCCTGGCCCAATGTGGCAGTATAGAGAGGTGGGACTATTTTTTTTTTTTTTT